CATTGCAAAAGGTATATATTTGCGTTGCAGGTAACGAAATCCAAGCCATAATTGATTCGGGGGCTGAGATTTCTGTTATAAATCAGAAACACATATCAAATTTCTCTATTGAGAACGACTGTAATATTGACCTAATTTATGCATTCGGAGAAACCATATCAGCTAAAGTGGCTAGAATTCCTATATCCATCAGAAATGCTGATAACCCTAATTTATTGAAACCTGTCGAAATATTAGTAGCTTTAACAGAAAAACTTCATATTCCCTGCGTAATTACTCCAAATGTTTATGATTTATTGACCTCTGAATCACATCATGATTGAATCATGATTGCGACATAGCGTCTCCATCACAGATACCGGAACTGAGGAGTCATCAGTCAAAACAATTCAAAGGTGAAAGACATGCTGATTTATTTATGGCAGGAGGAGAGCAAAATTTAATCATAAGTTGCATTCAGGGTGAAAACGAAAGTGAGGATAAATTAAATGTGAGTCAACATTCAGATGCCAGTATTTTTAAACAACAGCAGAGGGAATGTGAGACATTATGCAATATCTATAAAAACACTTAAAGAAATAAAAATAAATATTTTTTAATGGATGATTTGATTTATCATACAGAAAGAATTTCGGAGAACAAGTTAGTCAATTGGTAGTAAATAAAGTTAGAAGGGAACAAATTTTAAAATTAGCTCACGAATCTATTTTTGCGAATCATTTAGGGATGAGAAAAACAAAAGAAAGGATTCGTTACTCATTTTATTGGCCGAACATGTCACGAGATATTGAAGAATATTGTAAAACTTGTATGGAATGTCAATTACTAAGTAGAGAAAGAACCAACGATCGTATACCAATAGTTCCAGTTCAGAGACCTGAATTTCCATTTGACACAGTGAACGTAGATATAATCTGTCCAACTGAACCTCCATCAGCACGTAAACACAAATATGTACTATGTTTAGTCGACCAACATTCTAGGTGGCCAGAAGCTGTCCCTTTGAGAACAATTACAGCAAAATCAACATGCGACGCTTTATTAGAAATTTTTTATGAGAATGGGCATACCTCGAATAATAGCTTGCGATCAAGGTACCAATTTTGTTGCAGAATTAACACAAGAATTTCATGCCAGATTACGAGCAAGTCCTAGATTTGCAACACCAGGACATCTACAAAGTTCGGGATTAGTTGAACAGTACAACCAAGTTCTAAAACGTATGCTTCATCATATCATTAGAAACGACTCTAAAAATTGGGACAAACACACATATGGAAGAGAGGCCAGAGGTCCATTGTCAGTATTAAAATCGTCATGGTCAGGAGAAATTCCATTACGAATAAAATTGGGTAAAAGTACTGTTGATTATCTACAGAAGCTAAAAATGAATTTAGAAACAGCAGCAGAGCAAGCATCTATAATTGCAGAATTGAAACGAGGTGCATATGCAAGATACGCTAATCAAAGGGCTACATATAAAGAATTCAATCCTGGAGATCAAGTGTACCTGCTGATTCCAGTAAATAAATTATATGCCAGATGGACAGGACCTGCAGAAATAGTATCTCGATATAATCCAGATTCTTACAGAGTCAAACTGGCAGATGGTACAATAAGAAGAGTACACGTTAATAAAATTAAAAAATTTAATCCAAAAGTACAGGCAGTAGATGTAATATTTGAGAACGAAGAACTAGGAGAAGTCCATGCCACACCCAGTGTGAGTGACAAATCCACTCATTTTCATCTTAGCGAAGTAGATCTAAGCCATTTAGATGATGATAAAAGGAATGACATGATGAACTTGTTAAGAAAATATGAAAAATTACTTACTATAAATAAGGTACAAATTGCCGAAGTAGGAGAACATAAAATAAGATTAAATGACACTGAAAGAAAGAAGCCATATGTTTATCGATTCCCAGAAGCATTGAAGCCACAAGTAGACAAACAAATCGAAAAAATGTTGTCATTGGGATTGATTGAAGAAACTAACGATGAAATTTTGTAGCCTATTGTATGCGTTATGAAGAAAGACGGTAATCTTCGCCTTTGCGTTGACTTATCCCTTAATGCAGTAACGAAACCAGATGTCTTCCCTATGGAAAATCCTAAAGAGCTCTTATTCCACATTGGAAAAGCCAATGTCATATCCACAATTGATTTACTCAAAGGCTATTGGGCCATACCATTAGAAAGAGAAAGTCAAGAATTAGCATGTGTCAAGACACATCGAGCTCAATACAATTTAAAGTCACGCCTTTCGTGCTACGCAAAGCCGCTGCAACATTTCAGAGAGTGATGAACCAGGCCCTTGCTAAATACAAAGATTTTTCTCGAGCCTACGTTGATGACATAGCAGTTTATTCAAATAGATGGAATGAACATTTAAGTACATCTTGACAACATTTTTTCAAAATTGTTAGAACTAAAGTTTTCAGTAAATCTCAAGAAACGTTCCTTTGCTATAAAACTCGCATTAAGTATCTAGGACGTATCATCGGTTACGGCAGTCATCGTACTGATCCAGAGAAAGTGGAGGCTATCCAGAAATTAGCTAGATCTCAAACAAAGAAACAACTGAAAAGCATTCTAGGCCTATGTAATTATTACAGAGATTACATTCCACATTACGCCAAAACAGCTTATCCATTAACCGAGGTCACCAAAAGAAGAAGTCCTGAAGAGCTGTGCTGGACAGAAAAACACGACGAAGCATTCGATAAATTAAAGAAATGCCTAATGGAAGCACTAATCTTTATACCCCTGTTCCAGGGTTACCTTTTATAATTCAATGTGATACATCTTCAACAAGTGTTTGGAGCCTGCTTATCTCAACAGAAAAAAGGAAAGTAGTACCCGGTTAGTTATGCCAGCCAGAAACTAACCAAAACACAACAAGCATGGCCAACTATCGAGAGGGAAGCTTATGCTGTTATTTGGAGCTTGAAAAAGTTTGAAGCTTGGATTTTTAGATCACCTGTGGAACTGATAACTGATCACAACCCGTTAACTTTAATCACAAAGAATGCACCACAATCTTCTAAGTTACAGATATGAGTTTTAGCATTACAAAAGTATGATACTACAATTCCACATTGTCCAGGTGCTAAGTTAAGCAATGCTGATGCGTTGTCCAGACTAGAGACTATTGAGTGACTTGTGTGAAAAAAGAACCTTTTATAGACATTTATGAACTCTTAAGATTATTATTTATTAGATTATTATTGTGTGTATTTTGTTTTTCAGCTACTTTCCTAGAGACTTTTAAGTATACCATAGAAGCTTTAAATATTCTATTGCATTAGAATTGTTTGATTACTAATTTTTAATCATTTATATGTTACAGTTTTAGAAAAAGTCTTGTAGTAGGTGTAGAAGTAACCTGTATAAGTACTGTATTATGTATCTTTCAACTTCAGTATTGATTGATTTTGTAGGCTTTAGTAGGTAAGTAACACTTTTGCTTGACGTCACCATAATTTGTCATATTTCAATTGGCTTTCACCCTATTTCAATCTTGGATTGGGGGGGGTGTGATGTATGGGTGATGCCAACCAGCAAGATCTATAGAGGGCACTGGCTCTCAATCTGAAGGCACCAAAAGTTTAGTTTCCAAGAGGGAGACCGACAGAGAGGTCATAGGGAAGGCTCGTGGAAGCCATTAATGAAACTGAAATAAACTTTTATTACTTTATATATTTCAGTTATTAGTATTGTAGTTTAGTATTAGTTTTGTGTTTGTGCAAAGTTCAAAATTAAAAAAGTTACATATACAAAATTAAAAGTTCAAAATACAAAAGGGTGGAGTGTTTTCTCTATGAGGCGGTGGATGAAGAGAGGGGTGATTTCACAATGATCTTTTCTGCTCACATTCCATAATTCTAGCATGTGTTGTGGCACAAATTTTTTCCTTCTCCAGCACAGTGTTAAGAACAGACAAAGTACTGTTTCTGATGGCATAGTCTGAAGGTGGTTTAAGAAATTTAAGTGTGGAAATTTCAGACATGAAGATGATTTCTGCTCTGGATGACCATGTTCTACAAGTAAAAACTTATTAAAAGAAGGTCTTTTAGAAAATTACATTATACAATTCAAGAAATTTTAGACAGGCAATTATTTCAAAAAGTACAGTACATAATCCTTTGAGAAAGACTGGATATGTAAGCCACTATGACATATGGGTACAATACAGGAGAATATGCTTGTTTGAGTTCCAATGTGTGATTTTTTGCTGAAAAAAAATTAAAAAACGTTCCCATTCTGAAGAGCTCATTACTGGAAATAAGGGAGTACTATACAATAATTTTACAAGATAAAGATGATGGGGTTAAACAGACTAACCTTCTTTATTAACATTGAGATTTAATCTAATACATATCGTAAGTCATGCTTTCAAGACATGAAAAACTCAAGTTGAATTTCGTCAGTCGGATCAGTAGAACGAGAGATATAGATCTGTCCCCCCCTTTTTTTCCCATAGTGTACATAGCATTTGTCTGGATAAACTTACAGTGTACCACATACCGAAGTAAAATAAAATTAAACATAAATATTAACTAATTGAACATTGCTTGAAACTTCATACAAAAATCTAGAAATGTCTGCAATAGATTAAAACTAGGATAAAACAAAATTTAATAAGAAAAATGTCTAAACAAAATTATTTTGAGAATCACTAGAAATGAGAGAAAGGAATTTGTACAGTTAAGTTTTATCAATTCAATAAATTACAAATTACTGCTGGGAAACCTTCACCCCCCCCCAAAAAAAATAAATAAAATAAAATAAAAAAGAAAGAAAGAAAAGAAAAGAAAAGAAAAATAAAAAGAGAGAATAAAAGAAAAACTGCGGGGGGGGAGAGAAAGAAATACCTTCCAGATTGATTATTAACATATAATTTCTTGATAATTTTTTTGGCAACATTTAAAGTATTACTTACTTGAATGTGAAAAAAATAAGTTTATAAATATGGTAAACTACTAATAGTATATTCATTAACTGTTTACTTTAGATATCTCTAGACAAGGAAGTTTTCCAACTTGAGCTCCAGTAAATCCATACACAGAGTTTGCACTTATTTTTAAAGCAAGCTGACGACCATCCAACACTTTTTTCTTGAAAGGATCAGTTTCTTTTTTCAATTCATCTTTGGCTCTAGAACAGACAGAATTCATCAGCTTTTAAAGCAAATAATTATCTTTAATTAAGATAAAATAACACGCCAAAGAAGTATTAATTTAGAAGTCAAATAACAAAAATCAGAGTTATATTTGCAAATTTTCACGGGACTAGTTTTGATGGTTTTACCAAACCATCATCCTCAGCTGCCAAAGCGCAAATGAACAAGATACAACATAATGATTAGATGAGATAAGAATGGTCGGACAGGAATTAAGCTACTAGCGCCATTTACTGATGAAATGAGAACTAAAACATAATATCCTTAAATGCTGAAGGTACAGAAGGATTGGAATTAGAGTCGTTAACTAGAACAGAAAGAATTTTTGGAATGAAACGCCTCTAGAAAATCTAATTCACCAATGGAAGATGCTTTCTGAATAATTTTGGCTGCAGAAAAATTGAAAGTGTAGTTTTCGAACCAACTCTAACATATGCCTCATGTTCCTGAATGCGAAATTTGAAGGCCTTCTAAATTTGGCCAATGTAAATTAAACCCCATTGGCAAGGAATATGTATATATCCCAGAAATCCCTATCCGGATTGGTTGGTTTGGTTTATTAGATTACGGCAAAGCACTCGAGGGCTATCTGCCTTAAGGGAGGGATGCCTTCGCGGAGGACTTTTTAAGGGAAACTGGCTCGTATACATGTTACTCATGGCGAAAACCACGAAAAGACCCATGTAGCCAGGGTGGGATTCGAACCTCAGACCGAACTACCAATGTTCAGCGACGTTACAGCTCAGCCGCTGGTGGGCCCCGCTATCCGGACTGGGACTTTAGTACAGAATTTGGAATTTTATCGACCGGAGAATAAACGACCCAAAAGTTAAATTTTTGCAAAATTCGTGCAATTTTATAGCTAATTGATGGAAAAAAAAAGGAATGACAACAGAATTCTTATAATCTCTTAAAACAAAAATGTGCCTTTTGCTGTGTTGAGATGAGAATTTTTTAACTGCTTGATTAATAATGTTGGGTGAAAATCCCCTGCCAATAGCTACTGTTTTTAAATAATTTAGTTCTTGATCAAGAGCCAGTTTGGAGGAACAATTTTGAAGCGCACGGAAAACAAAGGAATAAAATGAAACTAACTTTTGTTTAGTCCGATGACATGATTTGAAGTGTGGTGGAAAGCAAACCAATGAAGGTTTATGGTAAACCACAGTACTGAAGTTGGATGTGTTACGTGTGACCAAAATGTCGAGGAACAGAAGAGTATTGCATGTCTCAAGCTCAAAAGTGAACTGAGTAGCAGGATCAATAGAATTCATTGTTGAAAGAACTTTGTTTAAATAATCTTTATTACCGTCAAACAGGGTAAAAGTATCATCTATGTAGCGGAACCATACAGGGATGTTTAAAGTTTCAAATAATTTTGATTCATAATAATGCATGTAGATATCAGCTAGGATGAGACTGAGTTGGCTTCCCATGGCTAATCCCTCAGGTTGCTTGCTTGTAACACTTACTTTGGAAAACAAAATGTGTTTGTTGCAAACAGACTTAAGTGAGGAAAATTAGCTCATCAATTTCGATGCAAGAGAAATGAAATTCATGAAACCTGGTTTCTAGACATCTTAATGCACCCTGCACTGGAACACTGGTGAATAATGATTTTACATCCAAAGAAACCATGAGTAAATTTCCAGGAGAAATGCTTTTAACTTTTTTTACAAACTCTATTGAATTTTTTATGGTGTAAATTTTATTATCTAATAGAGTTGAAAATCTAGAAACTAAATATTTTGTTAACGGGTCAAGGCAGTGCCTAAATTTGATAAATAGGGCAGAAAGGAATACCACTTTTATGAATTTTGGGAAGAGCATATAATCTGGCACAATTAGCAACAGATGGGATAAGCGAATGTTTTAAGTTGGTCAAAAGGATTTATGAAGATTTGATTGCAGTTTTTATTTTTGAGGTCTGAAGGTGAAGGGTCTTTAGGGATATGGTCCTTCGTTTAAGAGTTTAGTGACACCATCGAAGTAAGTGTTCTTGTCCATGACAACTATCCGGCCACTTTGGTTGGCCTTTGAAATGATAACATCTGGATTAGAATGAATTTATCGCATTGTCATTTCAAAGGACGACAAAGACTTGAGAACTAATATAAAGACAAATGATTTGATAAATTTGCTTTGGAGATATCAGCACTTTAGAAATAAGAACTGAAAACAATTTCAAGAAGTTAATACAAATTAACATGCAAACAGAAACACGATAAAGAAAATTTTATCCCTGGCTGATAAGGATCACTAGACACAAGTTTATATATATTTTAAGAAATTACAGTCTATTCTAAACTGAGAATTATACAAATACATTAGCCACCTTGCTCTGTCATTAAAAAAATTAACTTTTGGAATACAGAGTAATTACCTTATACATATTGAAAATATGTAGTCTAAGTTTAAAATATATATATGAGCAAAGAGCAGCATTTTCTCAGATTAATTAAAAATATATATCACAAGATAAAAGAAAAAAGTAACAGTTTATAATAATAACTGAAAGCATTATTTATTTATACACCTTATTCAAAATTTTTACAGAAGGACATGAGCATTACTATTCACATATTTTGATCATTTATTAAACTCTTTTACCAGTGTTTAGAATTCCTTGATTTTTACATTTTGATACTGCTGAAACCAGCGGCCGAGCAGTAAAGGCGCTGAACACTGGTAGTTTGGTCCGAAGGTTCGAATCCTGCGAACAAGCTGGCTGCATGGGTGTTTTCGTGGTTTTCGCTTTTGTGTAACGTGTATACGAGCCAGTTCCCCTTAGAAAGTCCTCCACGAAGGGATCCCTCCCTTTAAGCAGATAGACCTCGTGTGCATTGCCATAACTGAATAATCCTGCTGAAAATAGATATTTAATGCCAGAGGTTCCAGACATTAATGTATGCCTATTTCTTCATTGTGGTATCTATTATTTTGATGAACAGGTAATTAAAGTGTTAAAGAACTATGCATTTTGCTACATTAACAAAAACTGTTTCAGATTTTAAGGGTCACCCAAAAGGGTTTTGTTAAGGTTTTCTACACTCTCACTGAGCCTACCAATCTGCTATTACACTCACTCTTGCTAATTTATTTTCTTTCTTTTTTCTGCCTGTTTCTTTTTCTTTACTTTTAGTTTTATTATTAAGCATTGGTGGTACTTTTCAGTTATGCACCTGCTACAGCTCTTGAGCCTGTGAAAGAGAACACATGCCGGGGATTCTGTGTGTGTATGTACTGCTACGTTTTCTTCACACGACATACAGAATTCAATGGCAAAATTACAAAATTTTAAAAGCAGCATAGTAACATTTATTCAGAATTCTGGATGTTAAGTGTTGGCATACATTTTTTTTATGTGTGCTAACTTAAATATCATGTTCTTTGCATCTACACCAGACAAAATTCAACTCAACAGTGTATGGTGGCGTGGTGGTTATGTACTTGGTGTATATCCTTGAATTTGACATGACTCCATTTCCTTAAACATAACCTTTATTCACACACATCATAACTTTAAACACAACTGAAATAACAGAATGAATAACAAAAACCACTAAACTAAAATTCAAACATCCTATGCTGCAGCTAAGGGCGAAGTGAGCGAGTTCACTGCCGCGCTAGCAGTTTTTACATAAACCACATGACGTGGATTGGCTGTGCACGCAGTTGAACATTAGATTGCCACAAGTGAAATACCAAAATATTTAAAAACAGCATATCTTTAGAATTTCCAACAGTTTCCCACATTGGAGACAAAAGTGTTTTATTTTGCAGTGTTGCCACCGCTTGCTTTCAAATAACTGAGTTTGTAAATCAAAAATTCATTAAAGTTTTACGAGATGTGAAATATAAAATTCGAAATACAAATTTCAGGCTTCCAGGTGCACATGTTTGGTAGGAGGGCTATGTTATTTAAAATTTGATGGCTTTATGTACCGTCGTTTTTTCATAATGTGAGGAATATACACATACACATGCAGGTTCTTCATTATTCAATTTCTTCAAAAATAAAGCAGGGCATTAATATTTGGTGGCAACAATGAAAAGCGGTGTTTGTTGTTTATAGTAAACTGATGGAAAATGACATTTTGGAGTCTAACAGCCCTTTTCGGGCTTTTAAAAAAGGAGAGAGAGAGAGAGTATAATTTCTCCAATGCTAGAATTTCATTCAAGTGCAATTCAACATTCATTCATTAACAATGAATGCTTGGTCAGCTCTGGTCAGAAGTCATCATCAATTTTAAAGATTGCCATCGATTGAAAATTAAGGCCCCCCCCCAAAAAAAACACATACAAATTGCAAAAGCAAGGCTGTGAAGTATTTTCTGATATGGAAGAAAGCGAAGTCAAAAAATGAATTGAGAAATGACAAATGAAGAACTGAATGACCTTTTAGTGGCATCTAACAGCAAAAGCAGTGCTAATAAAAAAGAAGATAAAGCATCTTTGACTTTCAAGATAATATATGAATTGTTAGAAAGAGCACAGAAACTATTTGATTTTGCAGTGGAAATTGACCCAAATGAAGAAAGATGAAGTCATTTTGCAAGAGGCATTAAAAAATACAGCACTCCTTACTGCAAAACTTAAAAGAGTTGCATTAGTCACTGTCCTAAGCAAAAATCTTACCTTTTTAAAAAAATAATTGTAGAATGTACTCATTAAATAACAATAAAAATTTTTTCAATTAAAATTTGCTAAGTTTCTTTTCCTTTTATTTACAGCCATATTTAAGTTTATTAAAATTACATATACTTTCTTAATCTGAATTATATCCAATACATTTTCTCCACAGACAGTTAACTTTGTGGATAACATTTTGCTGTATGTGCAATTTATCAATGACATAGCCCGTGTTTGGCAAAGCTTTACTATATATGATTTTTTTTTTTTTTTCATTCAGCCACTCAGTTCAAAGAAATGCTTTTCATTTAGTTTACTAGTCAGTTACTCTGTTGCTTATTATATGTACTTCCTTTCATCACCTTTACTATGTAGTAAATATAATTTTTTTAAATGGTCTGAATCCTCCAACTGAAATATTTTTCATGCTTTAATTTTAAAAATACTTCATTGACAAGACCAGATTTAATGATTAAACTCACGATAATTTTTATTTTGGATGAATTAGCACAAATTTGAAACTGACTCTGAATATTTTTATTAGTTCCCCCCCCCAGACATCTGAATTGTGAAGTATTAAATAACAAATCATTGCGATTGGTTGATGAAAAGGTTCATAGTTTATAAATATACAAACAACTCAAAATCAAAGTGGAGGGTGCATTAAGATGTCTAGAAACCAGACTTCGCGAATTTCATTTCTCTTGCATCGAAATTGATGAGCTAATTTCTCTCACTCAACTCTGTTTGAAACAAACACATTTTGTTTTCCAAAATAAATATTACAAGCAAACTGAGGGATTAGCCATGGGAAGCCCCAGTCCCATCCTGATATCTACATGCATTATTATGAATCAAAATTGTTTGAAACTTTAAACTTCCCAGCATGGTCCCGCTACGTAGACGATACTTTTACTCTGTTTGAAGGTAATAAAGATGATTTAAATAGAGTTCTTTCAACAATGAATTCTATTGATCCTGCTATTCAGTTCACTTTTGAACTTGAGACTTTGCAATTCTCTTCCGTTTCTCGACATTCTGGTCACCACACGTAACACATCCAACTTCAGTACTACAGTTTACCGTAAACCTTCATCGGTTTGCCTTCCACCACACTTTAAATCATGTCATCCGACTAAACAAAAGTTAGCTTCATTTTATTCCTATGTTTTCCGTGCTCTTCAAGTTTGCTCCTCCAAACTAGCCCTTGATGAAGAACTAAATTATTTAAAAGCAATAGCTATTGACAGGGGCTTTTTCACCCAACATTATTAATCAAGCAGTTAAAAAATTCTCATCTCAACACACTAAAAGCCACACTCTTATTTTAGGAGATTATAAAAATTCTGTTGTCATTCCTTCTTTCCATCAATTAGCTATAAAGTTGCACATATTTTTGCAGAAATTTAACTTTCGGGTTTGTTTACTCTCCCATCAATAAAATTCCAACTTCTATACTCAAGGACCCCATTCCGGATATGAATTCCTGGGGTATTTATAGGATTCCTTGCCAGTGCGGTTTAATTTACATTGGCCAAACTAAGAGAGCCTTAAAATTTCGTGCCAAAGAACATGAGGCATATGTTAGAAAAAAGGAAACACGAGAGTCTTCTGTTGCTCAACATTGTTGGTCCGAAAATCACACTTTCAATTTTTCTGCTGCCAAAATTATTCAAAAAACATCTTCCATTGGAGAACTGGATTTTCTAGAGGCATTTCACATTCATAAAAATCTTTCTGTTCTAGTTAACGATCCTAATTCCAATCCAAATTTGCCTTCGGCCTTTTAAGAGAAATTATGTTTTAGTTCTGGTTTTGCATCAACAGATGGGCGCCACTTGCTTATTCTTGTCCAGGCTTTCTTATCTTATCTAATCACTATATTTCCTATCTCTGTTCATTTGCGGTTTTGCAGCTGAAGATGATGGTTCGGTAAAACCATCGAAACTAGTCCTGTGAAAATTTTGTAAATTAACGCTGATTTTTGTTGTTTGACTTCTGAATTAGTATTTATTCGGCGTGTTATTGTGTCTTAACTCAAATCATTTTATATATAAATTAATTTCAGAAGCCATATTACAATTTGTAGCTAAAACATTGTTGTGTCACTATCAGTGGATTGTGATATGCTAAAATACACATGCATGTGTGTGAGAGAGGGTAAATTTTTACATCATCTTTATGCTGTTTCTGCAGCAGGTAGTGGCCACTTTAAAAATTCTCACATAAAATATATTAGTATTCAATTAGATAAGATAAATTTTTGTGTTCTTCGGCTAATTTCGTTTCATAATTTGCTTATACTTTTACAAAATGAAAATCCTAAGCATGCAAGAAAAGTTTTAATTTATCATGGGACTTTCAAACATGATGAAAAAGAAATTAAATAATTAATGTGCATGATATTGTGAGAATAAACTTAATATTGTACCATATACCCATGTAATTATCTATGTAAAATTACATTCACATATTTACTGTTTAAACACCGCATGGATCTTCATATAAAGTTTTACAAATGTCTACAGCAGATTAAAATGATTCAGATCATACAAAATTTCACAAGAAAATTATGTCAAAAATTATAAGGGATGGAAATACAGTCAAAAGTCGTTAATTCGGACCTCAAAGCTACAAACTTTTTACTCATGTGTCGTTTTGACGCATGCGCGCAAGACCTTTACCACTGCGAATTTGAGTGTGCGCGTGCACAAAATACATACGAATGCGCGTTTAATGTATAACAGAAGGGATAAGCTAAGCTAAAATTATCTATTTCAGTGAATATTGCAGATTGCGTTGTTCCTTAATCTTCGAATTGGATCCGGATTATTATTTTTTGCAGACTGTTAGAGCAATTTTATAAAAGTAAGCTTGAACTTTCGATTATGTCAAATAGAATTTCTGATATATATTTATTAATATGTAAAGGATCTACAAAGCGAAAGTATGTTTCAAAGTTCATTAAACAAAAAGTGGAATTGCTGCAAAAAATGGATAAAGGCATATCCTTTGTTTATCTAAACTTTAACGTTTGTTTATCTTTAACATGGCGGGCGCAATGAATTGGAAGTTGATCTGTCAGCACTATCCCTATCTTAAGGGCAGATGTTTTTATTTTATTTGGCTTATAATTGCTTACTCAATTTAGTATTTCATCTCGATGTACTCCGTCTTTGATATGATTTAAATCAAATTCCTCGTCATTATAATTCGCTTCCAATAGTGAAGAAAGTGACACAGAGGTTATTGAAAACGAAAAAATTTCGATTGACAAATTAGTCGGTATTCTCAACACAGCAATTATAGGACTTGAACAGCGGAACTTTGTAACTGAACAAGAAATTATGTCTGTTTATAGAATTAAAGAGAATGTATTATCACATAAAAAACGAAGCAACTTAAACAACTTACATTGAAAGAAATGTTTAATAAAGTAAACAAATAAATATTAAGCTTTTTTTTTTGTAAATTTTGATACCCTTTAGATCATAATTGTTCTTTATTTCGTAAATTACAGTTTCATATTTTTAATTTTATAATTTCTGCTTGCCATTTTACCAGATTTAAACTGATGATCTATAATCCGGAAAAATCGATAATCCGGAATCGCCGAAGTCCCGACGAGTCCGGATTAACGACTTTTGACTGTATTAGGGAATCAAATTTGTACAATTAAAGTGTTAATAATGCAATAAATTTTATTTATTAGCAAACCTTTTCTAAATAATGTCTAAAAATTAAAACCTGGGCGAGTTGGAAGCTATAACATACATATACAAGAAGCAACCCATTAAAAATGGAGGGGGGGTAAATCATACTTTTTTCTAGCAGCAAGAAGATTTTCCAATATCTCTGGTAGCAATCCTTTGCGCACAGTTTTCTTCACAAACAGTACACCAGACGGACATTTGGTGTACCCTTCTTCACCCAGGTTTTCTCGCATCTGCACAGACTGTACTAAAGTTGTGTAGCAAAGATTATGTGCCATCATGATGGAAGGATACAGAGATGTAAAATCCAGAGTTGAAATTGGATTGCTATAATATCCCTTTACAGGTTCTATGACAGTAGCACCAGTGAAATCTTCACCCACTTCTGTGTGAACAGTAGGAATGATGAAATCGTGCTCAACAGCCTGGGAAAAAATTAAACGTTTTATTAAATGGCCATAAACAATTAACTACATTAATTATCTATTGCCATTATCACACAATAAGTTATATCATTTATATCAGTTGATTTAACTCACAATGAGTTATATCATTTATATCAGTTGAGTCACAAATATTGGGTAATTTTGTAAGCTTAATTAACATGTTATTTCTTATGCCAATTGCTTTCTGTACTTCTACTATTTTATCTATTCCCTAAGAAAACGTAAATGAAGTTTAAATATTGAGAATCTCTGTTTAGCAAAGAAAGACAGCAACCTCAGCCTTCTAGGCTGAAACTTCTGCACTGTGGCTTATTTAGCTTTATAGTTATAAGTTGGTGAATTATTTTCACTGAAATTCCATTAGCATTCATGAGGTTGCAGAATCAGGCTGTAAGGCTTTGAAGTGTGATTTTTACATAATTTAACAGTTGTTGCCGTTCCATCTTTCAAAAAGCAGAAGTTAATTTTGCTATCACTTTTAGCTTTCCAATAACTAGAAGTGGAAGTAAATGCTTTAGTTTTGATTTTTTACTTAGTTATTGTCACTTTAGCGTTCTAGTTTTGAAGGTAAAGATAAGTTGATAATTTTTCTGGCAGGTTAACTTTGTGTGCTGCAAGAGATATCTTTGTTCAGACTTTTCCAAAAATTTCCTATCAGCACCACAAATTCAAAAATTTCTGATTTTCCAGATTTAATTTAATTATTAATTTATTTTGAAATCCTAATATTTTAGTTAATATTTAAATTTTCATGAAAACCTTGACATTTAAGAAATAGATACAATGATAAAATCCTTTTATAATACCATGTGTTAAGTAACAGTTATCTACACTGCTGGCTAACGTAAATGCAGCATCCTGAAGGAAGCATGCAAATAACATGAAATGTACAACATGCACTAGCGGAGGTGAGATATGCAAATGATTAGAATTTCAGTGCAGACGCACATCATGCACGCCTGTGGCACCACTTCAGAGCGCTATTTAAGGCTTGGAGTTTTCGACGATTTTAAGTTCGGCAATTGTGTTTTTCTTGTGGCTTATTAAAAAAAAAAAAAAAATTATGCCTCGTAATAAACAGCAATCGTTGTTTAATCAAGTAGCCGAGCTCGACAGAGGAAGGATAGTGACCTACCGAGAGTGTGGATTATCTTTCAGGGAAATCAGTAGTCGTGTTGGATGAAACCAAACAACTGTAATGGAGATATGTGACCGTTGGATGCAGAAGGGTACGATGAACCAACGTGTTCGATCACATCCACCTCAGTGCACCACTTCATGACAGGAACTTGTGCGCATAGCAGTGACGGATTGCTCAGTCACATCACGAACCATAGCACAGCACATTCAGTCTGTAACGCATCATCCAGTGTCTGCGCGTACCATTCGACGCCGTTTACAGCAGAGTAGTCTGTCTGCAACATGTCCATTGTTTCGTTTAACCTTGACGCAGAATTGTCCAAGGGTTCTTCGTCAATCGACAGATTGAATTGCTTCCCTGGCCGGCTCGCTCTCCGGATCTTTGGTGTGTCCATGTGGTCCATGGTTGCTGAACGATTGACCCAGATTACATCCCAAGCTGCTACACCAGATCCACTTTGGCAACGTGTGGAAGCTACTTGGTCTGCTGTACCCCAAGAACACATCCAAAGTCTCTTTGAATCAATGCTGAGGCGTGTGGCAGCAGTGATCTCCAACAATGGCGGCTACTCTGGCTACTGATTCTGGAAGGAACCACACTTCACAGAAGTCTATAAATTTAATCATTTGATACTTGGTCAACATGTTATCTACTAAATAATTTTGTTGTGATATCTCTTGTCTTTCTTGGTGTTGCAATTTGGGTGGCCAGCAGTGTAGAATGAAATTAATACAAAATTACTTCAGAAGCTAAAACAAATGAATAACAATGAGCACAGGCATTTACTAGAAGATAAAGAAGTAACTTAGTTTCTTTTGTAATACTGTGCATTATTCATAAAATTGAAAATAAAAAGTGAATGAGTAAATTTACTTAACCCACAGAAAAGGAAATCAGATTATTTAAGGAGGCAAGGACCTATACCTTTCTCAAGAGCTGAGAAACAACTTTTATCTGCTGCCCCCTAGATAGCAAATAAGTTAATGGAACACCAGTTACACGAGACATTTCCATGTAGTTAATGACACACATTAGTTTCTCCATAAGTCTCAAAGGTAACATGGCATCTTTCAGACAATACACAGCAAGTCGTCTTCTGGTCTGATCAGTGCCATTCTGAAAATTAAAATATAAATTTACATTATAATTAATTTTAGATAACAAATTAAAAAAAAAATTAAACACAGTTTGTAACAATGCAACTAACATCTAATTTCCAATGCACTGATTATAAAGGTAAAATTTAGAAGCAGAATATAAAGTAACTTCTAAAGTACAGTAAAAAGCTGGACTATCCGAAATCTTTAGGGAATGCCAGATATGTAAAAATTCTGAATAGCTAAGCATATACAAAATGCAACTCATGGTGGAAAAGCAAACTGAATGGAAAATATTTCCACCTTTAAATTATACAAAAATCATCAGATTCATTATTAACTTAAATATCAAAAGTCTACATTTACAATTATGTAATATATTGGGGGGGGAGAAAAAGCAGCACCACAGCTCATGCAATCTCTGCAGCTGCACCAGACAAAAAAATTTAGAGAAGCATCAAGCAACAAAATTTGGAGATATCAAAATTTTCTGAATTTAAGAAAAGCACTTGATGGCAGAATTTAGGGCTGGCAAAAATTGTTAGAATTTAGGCAGACATTTGGGTAGAAAAATTCATCGCCTTGAACGACAGCTTCTCAGATTACTATGTAAATGGATATCATTGTTGGATCAATGTAAAAAGTTCTGTAAAAACAGATACAGGTAGAAATAGCAAGTTTGCCAAAAATTCACCACTGGTGATACAAATTCTGCTGAGGTAATAGTGCAGTTCTACCTAATTTTGTGGAAGAGCACCAAAGGGGCTGCCCAAGGGTCTCTCATCCCTTTTCTCCTACAACCAACCTCTTTAGTGGCCATTTGGTTCGCCATGTATTTTGAATGCCCGTTGCGGCACAAACACTATATGCTTATAAACATCGATACCTTTTTCAAGACTCGAACCCTGGCTCAATGGCACAACAGTCAACGTCATTGATCAATATACTGTCTTGGCAACATCTTGCATGATCAGTGTATTTTTCCTCCATGAAGGATGTCTAAAGACTGTCCTAGGCAGGTGTTCAGAGTGTTGATATTTGAAATGAGATATATGCTGCTAAAAGTGTTAACTGTTGGTTATGACAGGACCTGAAACATAGTTTCACTAAAGTGATGCAAAGATGAAACAAGAGCTTGAGTGGATGGATCTCTTCAATCTCCAGCTTCAAACCCTGGAAGTTTCACAGGAAGATTTTCAGCACTATTTGTTTGGGATGAAGAAGGATCACTGTTTATTAATTATATGTTATATAATACTAAAATAACAGGCATTTTTTATTATTAACCTGCTGACTTCAATAAGCCGTAAAGATTAAGCCTTCCATTATACAACTCAAACTTCAATAAGCCATAAAGGGAAAAGTGCTACTTTTGGAAGACTGCGTTTGGATTTCCCAGATTACTATTTAGCAATTCAAATTTCAGCTTCTTTTCTGTCTACTGAAAAATCACTAATACTGAACACTTTTGTTTAAAAAACTGGAGCAACACTTACACGGTTCATGTTATGATAAATCATGATGGATTTGAAGGTTGTCATTCAGAAATAATTTAAAGGTTATGATAAAATGTTTTTCTGTTCAGATTGTTGTATTAAGACTACTAATATTAAAGGACATGAAGTAGAAACCAAAAAAGTGATTTCAGATATAAATTTTGAACAAGTGTATAAAGGGCTATCTGAAGAATGCCATTTAGAAATGGTGTAAAGGCTATGACATAATGTTTTTCTGTAGGAATCTGATGTCATATTACTGTAATAAAGGTACTGAAGTCAAGGGAAATGAAGTAGAAAACTGAGAAAGTGGTTTAAGATATGTATTTTGCTTAAGTGTATTGGACTTAAACTTACTGAATATCAATATATTATTTAATATGACAAAATCATAACTTTTGTCTATACCAGTGGCAGAAATATTCCATAAAAATTTTTAGTACAATCTTTGATCTGACTATCTGCACCCTCATCTCCTCCCCCAGAATGTATTCATAAGATTATGCACTATGCCACCGAAACTAATGTATTTATGAGGCAATCCAAGTAGACATGCAGCAGATGCACATTTCAGTACATACATATTTCCACCTGAGCCCACCAGCGGCCGAGCGGTACAGTCGCTGAACACTGGTAGTTCGGTCCGAGGTTCGAATCCCGCAAACGGGCTGGCTGCATGGGCGTTTTCGTGGTTTTCCCCATGTGTAACGTGTATACAAGCCAATTTTTCTTAGAAAGTCTTCCACGAAGGCATTCCTCCCATTAGGCAGATAGCCGAGGTTTTGCCATAATCCCCCCACACACACACACATATTTCTCCCTAACAAATTAGACAGTAATTTTTCTGATTAATATTTGTTTCTACATTGAGTACACTTTTCCTGCTTCTTCTAGTAATGAACTGTAATGTAACAGTAGAATTTGCCAGTTGATCAAGAAGAAAGCATTGCATTTCTTCAGAAATATGCCATTTCGCCCAATGCAAAAATTTGCACTCTACCATGCTGCACTGTCTAAACAATCAAATCTTATTAAAATCGAATACAAAAAATTGAAAACATCACTGTATACATGGAGAGAACAACATACACAATGTCTTTTTGCGTGCACTGCCAAATCTAAGCAATTCTCTAATTTTTTTAAATTGAAACAGATTAAAAAATTAGTCTTGCCTTTCAAAACTTTTTATTGTAACTGTAACCATGAGAGCTCTTTTCTTTTAAATCAATGCAATCTTGAGAGTACACTTTCAAATAATAATATATGAAATTTCATTTTGATTGGCTGAGCAGATAGGCCGTGGCCGTTAAAGATTCATATATCAGAGAATTTCTTTTGAGACCACCCCGTAGGTTGGCCATTTTGGGAGGAGGGTGCAGATAATCAGAAAGTACCAAAAGACTGTTAAAATGCACAGCTTGTAATGTAATGAAAATAATGATATATTTTTATATTCATCACTTTTTAATGCACGTATGAACAGTGGACAAATCTCAACATCATTTAGTTAAAAGATACAAATTTAATGACTACAACACAAAGCAAATGAACAACATTATAGTGTATTAGTGTGGTGATGAAATATGCATTATATACAAGACATGTGGCCACAAATTTAATTAAACAGAAAATAAACCATAAAATTACCATTCTAATAAATAAAACATAAAATAAATAAAACAATGCAAAATAAAAAATAATAATAATAAAAAAGGATTAAAACATTTACAAATATTTACTACAACACTCCATTCAACTTCTTAGAAACACTTGCGACTATCATGTGAATACATGGTATGTTACTTGCTCTGATGTTTGCAATACATGAAAGCTAATTTTTAACTTTTGAGTGTAATTTTTACAAATCATAATATAAATTGATCAATTTGAAATTTTACTTGTACTAAAGCTATATCAGATTAAGCAATGAAGAATGTGGATAGAATTTTAAACCCTGTTCTCAATGAAAAACTTATTTCACTCCTATTTCCAAATAAATGACCACTCAGATATTAATTATCTTCACTCATAAATTGATTATTCTCAAAGAAAAACAATCACAGCGGAATTAAATTTTATGAATTAAATGGATTATTGAAAAAAAAAAAAAAAAAAAAAAAAAAAGATTTAAATCATTAGGAATCATGGGTATTTATTACTTCAGTTGTTAAGAAAGTTCAGTTTGATGAGAAAATGAATTTAATCCCTTGTCTGTGGAATATACTTGAGAAAAACATGCAAAAAATGGAAAATTATTTTTTCCTTTTAATTTTACTCATTATTATCATCAAAATGTTATAAATAGATTATTAAAAAAAATTAAATGAAATAACTACTGTAATTTCTGAAAGAAAGGCCGCATCAGTGTAAATGGCGCAATCGAGAAAAATGGCAGGAAAAAAATATAATTACAGAGGAACGGTGCATCAGCGTAAACGCCGCAATAGGTTAAATTGCGTGTGACATCGTCATGGGCCGTTATAGATGCAAAATCTCAACCTATGTCCTGATATATGACATATCAGTTAAGAAAAATGCATGAAATGAAACCATAACTCAAAAATAAATTAAAGGTAAGAAATGTTGAAAATATATTTATGTTCATGAACATACTTATATTTACCCACTAAAGAAGTCGATACTCAGACTATATTGTAAAAAATGTTGTAATAATGAAATATTAAATTTGGATGACAAAAGAAAATTTTAAATTTTACTTACAAAAGGAATTACAGCAAACTATACATCATATGAAGCCATCAAAATCTGATTCTTCACTATCTGAATTAAAAAGATTTAGTAAATCCTGATCTAAGTCTTTCAGATCCTCACATTCATCCTCTTGGTTTACACTCTCTTTATCTAAGGATATAATTTCAGTTTCTTTGAACCCTGCTATCATTGACGATGTTTTTACCGATTTCCACGCACTTCCTACCCATTTTGCAACTTCTTCATAAGATGCTCTACGCATTTTACCGCTTTTGGTATACCTATTCAATCCTTCACTCATCCAATACTCCCACCGCTCTCGGACTTCAGCTTTGAAGGATTTATTACCTGACCAATCTAATGGTTGTAAGATTTTTGTCAAACCACCAGGAATTGCTACAATCGTAGACAATTTTTGACGTCTGGTTTTCACTGACTCAAGTAAATGAGCACACATGGAATTCATAATCAATAACCCTTTTGGTTGGAAAAAAGAATCCCTTACAACACTGCCAAACTTTGTGTAGTCACTCATGCATAATTGTTTTGCACATCCAGCTGTTCTCGTTTGCACAAATAATTACGTCATTAGGAAAATCTCCCTTCGGAATAGTTTTTCGTTTAAAAATGATCATCGGCTTTAGCTTGTCACCCTTTGTGGTACAAGCTAACACACATGTAAATGACATCCTTTCATGCCCCGTCGTAAGCACAGATACAGTTTTCGCACCAGTTTTATCAACAGTTCTGTTTGCAGGAAAGTCGAAAGCTAACAGGGTTTCATCCGTATTTATTATCTGTGACCGAAGAAGTTTTTTTTTGTCAATAATATCTGTCACATATTTTAGAAAAGATGCCTTTTTATCCTGCCAGTCCACTGGTAATTGTTGCCCGACTGTTGTTCTAGTACGCACAGAAATATTTTTCTTTTCATAAATCTGCTACACCAGCAAGGACCTCCTTTGAAATCATTTATGCTCATATGTTCTGCTATAAATTTTGCTTGTAAGCAAATTTTTACAGTCGAAATTGCCATTTCCTTTCCTTGTTGCTCTTTTATCCAGTTTGCAAGGTCGTCCTCTAGATTTGGCCACCTTACAGTACCACTTCTTTTGGCTCGTTTCTGTTGTGGCATATTTCTAAGTTCTTTTTCAGTTCTCCAACGTCGAATACATCTCTCGTTCACTTCAAACTCTTGAGCTGGCTCTATTTCCAGTTTGTTCAGCATGTGAAATTACATTAAAATGCCATTTTCAAAAATTTTCCGCTCCCTTTTTATTTAAAATATATCCAACAAGTACTTGTACTCAAATTGATGGGATCTCTATCTGGCAGAATGCCAAGAAAAATCGATTCATGCTGAAGAGGAAATATGTCGAGTTCCTTATTGCGAGGCAGGTGGAGTCCTGTGGGCCTTTGAAAAAATTGCAGGAAAGGCAGGGGTGGGGAGAGGATGGGTCCTGGAAGATTCATGGAATGGCAGAGGAGAGAGACTATTCAAAATGATGAGAATGCTGATTTGAAAGGGGGAAGAATGTTATTGTTCTGAGATTCTGTTTAGGGTGAATAAGGTATGTAGGTCCCTTTAAGGTTCACCACCGGAAAGAATGTAAACAAAATAACATTCGCAAAAAGCAACTCAGTGGTCTTTTGTGTGGAAACAGCACCAGTCTATGTACAATGACAAGGCCATCCAAACTATGTACAATGACAAAGTTATTCAAACTATATACAATGACTATCATAGGAAATATTTTATTTTTAGTGCACCTAAATGCCGCACCCGCTGAAAATGTAAGTTTTAAACACGTAAACGCCGCAGCGTTTCTTCCGGAAATTACGGTATTTTAGTTAGTAGGGGGGAGAAGAGAGAGAAACCGTAATTAAAAAAATTAAATTAAAAATTACTTCACGAATATACTCTTAATCTTTGTACATATTGTATAAATTTTTAAAAACACACTTAACAAATCATTTTTTTAATAAATACGACTTTTATTGACAATTTTATGAAATGTTTTCGAATTAACAAAGAATCACCAAATGCAGTCTCTACAAAAATATGCAGTCTTTCGTGAAAGCAAAACAAGGTAAATTTTAAAATAAAATCATCATACCTGAAGATCTGTAATTATAGAATGCTGCACATCCTCTTTTTGTTCTTGCAAAAAGTGGTAACTCACAGCATTGAGGGTGTAGGAACGAAGTTTATAATCTCGAACCAAAATCTAATACCAGAATAAAGGATATTAATGGTAGTAACAATTATGTAAATTCAATATCATAAAAATTATTTTAATAAAAACTATATATATAAACATATTCTATTTTAATAAATAGCCAACTTTTGGCCTTTCCAATATATATATATATATATATATTTTTTTCATAAAAAAATCTGATGTGTGCACCACGACTTCCTTGTACGGAATATTAAATTATACGCACTTTTTTCTTGAATTTCATTTAAATTGATTGGATTGAATTAAACCTACTTCGTCGACAGTGCATAAACCACGATAGAATAAATGCACTCTTTAAAATTCACTATATTTTTTTACTATAACGACACTCTGAATGCACAAAATTTATATCATTTGAAGAATTATCGTTGCCACATGTTCTATTCAAATACTATAATAAAGCTAAAACGATGTATGAAAGAAATTAAGAAAAAAAAAACAAAACAAAAGAAACAGTTTTTCACAGACGATTTAGTATTTCTCATTCAATTAATTCAGCTCTCACTTCGCGACAAGGCAAAAATACATAAAAACTCCAAATATCTGCATTAAAAATTACGAAGTAAATCTTAAACACTTATTTCCTCGAAAAAATTCCAGAAAGGATTAAGCATGATTTAATTCGCAATAATAAATGAAGGCGTTATTTTTGTGTTGCGAAGCTTAGTCTCTCTAGATTGGCAACAAATCTACAATTCTGCTGTTTCAAAAGTAAAGAAACATGTCCGCCATGTTATTTAAAAATTAGGCTTAACCGCACTTAAACTGCTTTTAAATTGTTGATAATTTATAAATATTGCTTGCAGATTTCCTAAAGGGATAAAAACCTTAACCGGAAGATAAGAACAACATAATTCAATCATTTTTAAAGTAACAAATTCATAATTTACAAACATATAAGAGTAAAGATACTGAGTGGATATATATATAAATATATTTATATATGTTTGGTGTGGCCGATTGCAACCAAAATACGAGGTGCAGATGTACATGTTATAGCAGTCCTACATACAAAATTTCAACGTTCTGAGGCTACTCATTTTTGAGTTATGCGAGATACGTACGTAGGTACGTATGCGAGATATGTACGCATGCACGTACATACGTTCGTACAAACGCCACGAAAAATTCTCTTCAGAATTAATTTTAAAGCAGTTTTATAATTTTTTTGGAGGAAAGGTGTCTTTTATTCTGTCCTTACGCACAGATATCACGCAAAAACATCGTTAAATTGCATTCGAAAAGCGGTCAAAGTGGATATTTTCGTTGAAATATGCTGCCTGAAGCTTTTCGCGATTACAATACTTCCTTTTTACTTCGTACACGGAAGTAAAAAAGGAAAATTTTTCTTTGAATTTAACAATGACAAGTGCAGACATAATTGGATATTATTGCTATTCATTTAATTAATAAAATAAATGCAGCAACTGAATTATTTTAAAATTTATAAAAATGGAATTAACTTGATTATTATTTAGAATTAGCTATATGTGTAATTAAGAACATCACCTGCAATAGATCAAACTGCACTCTTCCTTCAATAAAGATAACTTTATTTTCCCGCTTTCCCATCTGTCTGGATTGTAGAATAGAATCCTTCATGATAGTACGGATATTTTTCATCCTTCCAAGAAAAGGAAAAGTTGTGACTTCCAGGTGTTTAGCTCGATTTAATAGATAAGGAAAATCAAAATTTTGTATATTGTATCCTGTTATGATGTCTGGATCAACATCACGAACAAAATCAGCCCAGGACTATACAAAAACAGACAAAAACATTTGTAAGAAAATATAAGAAAATATCTTCTATTGCACATGAAAAATAAAACATAAAGATAAAATAATTAAAGCAAAGAATTTATAAATTTCAATTAAAATTTAATTTGTATGGTTTTTATTTTTCCAAAAAAAAAAAAAAAAAAAGTTGTAAATAAAGAAAACTGATGTATTTAATTTTTATAACTAAGCTTTACGATAAATAAGTCCTAGTTTGACTAAAAAGACTTTTCCTTACAAAAATGTCTCTAAAACTGAAAGGCGTTCTAAAATTGTAATGTGTTTTCTTCATTTAAAATATGCTACATTACCAATGCAACAGATATTTTTTTCAAAAGTGGAAAAAACATAGAGAAACCAGCTAGAAGAAATAGAAGAAACTAATTTTTAAACTTATTCATATTACTATTTCATCTACATCTTATTCATATATAGCACCAATGAGTAACAAATTTAAATGCCTCATTAGTATGCTTAACCTTTTGATTATATATATATATATATTGATAAACAAGTATTTTGTGTATATGCAATGAGATCTGCTTCTGAACAAAAAATCTGCGGATTTTCTTCTCAAACATACTACACAGTTTATATAAAATTTCATAAATGGCATTTCTTTCTATCATAGAAAATTTAGTGTTCTGAAAATGACATTATATAAAGTTTTCCTGCTCCATTCTTAATTACTGCATTTCAATAGACTATTTTTTAAATCAAGAAGGAGTGATCTTTCACTTACAAATATGTCTTAAATAATTCCATACAAAATTACAGTGTTAAACTGCTTGCTGTAAAAGAATTTTACAGAATTAGGGCCCACCTTCCTTTCTACAAACTAGAGTAGACATTTTTTAAAGAATATCACAAAATTTTAGATATAGTTTCGATAGAATTATAGATAGAGATTTTATAGAGATACGCAAAATTATTCTATACAAATTTGTACAGAGAGCTACAAAAATATGTGAGGAATTTTTACAGGTCCCACATGCAGAATCTTAAATAAATTATATAGCATTAATTAACACAGAATTTTACTGAAAATATAACATGCTGTTTATAGAAAATAGAAAACTGGGCCATAATTTTAAAAAACTCTAAACAAATTTTCTCACTTTAATATTCCATAAAAGGTCTCATAGAAACTTTTAATTATTTAAAAGCATTATAAAATCTACAAAACGTTTTTTGGGTAAAGGGATTAAAAAGAATTAATTAAACTTCCTTTCTGAAAGAGAGTTTTGAAATCTTGTCTAAATTTTGAAATGATGATCTACGACAGATGTGATTATTTTCTAGAAAAAATTCTGTTGAAAGAAAGCTAAGAAAAAGCTGTTCACATACAAATGCATTTCTAAACAAAGAAATTATCCTAAGTGCAAAAATTTATAACTGTGCATACTTATTTTTTACACAAATGTAAATATAAGTTAATCAAATTCATAGCTTCAAATCTTTGAACATGATTTATATCACATTGCAAATTAATTAGCTCTATTTATAAATTTCACGTGTGTTATTTATGTTAGTTTCTAGTGACAATAATGTAAACTTAGACTTAAATACCTAAAAGTTTAAAATCTTTGCAACAAATACATAATTGAAATGCATTTGTGGGCTGCAAGTTTGAGACCACAGCTCTACGATATATTTTAGCAAAGCTATTTACACGGATCGGAAGTTTGATTGAGCTATAAGCATTAAGAGGTGTCAGCCACTTGATTGCGAGAAGCTTCAGTGGCTCAAAACAATCAGATTGAAAGTGATAAGTAACCTAACATATCCATTAACAAATAAAATATTATTGCAATTAATAAAACTAAATTTACTGTTATAAAACATTTAGTTATATTTGAACATTTCTATTTTAGAACCCCTAAGACATTTTTTTTTATTTATTTATTTAGCCAGCTCTGAAATAGTATTTCCATTAATGTATTTTAAAAGAGACTTATTATTTATTTACAAATTTTATTCATGAAGGAACATCAATGTTTTCATCCCAATTCATTTAATTAAAAAAGAGTAATTTAATGAAAATAAATAACACAGTATTTATTGTTGAGCAATTTATAATAGAATCACAATTTAGCAGGTGTTTTATCAACTGGAAGGCATGGACATTTAATCCATTAATAAGCATTGCAACAAAAAATAATTAAAATTAATTTTTAACAAAAGAAAAACTGTTTTGAATCAAAGAAGTTGTATTTGCTTTTACCCAACGCAGTGCACACTTCAACTTATAATCATTTAAAAAATTTAAATAACATTAAAGTACGATTCAGTTTTAAAATTACCAAAAACTTACCTTCAATAAATCTCTCTCACGTTCATATGAAAGAACTTGAGAACCTATGATTGGAGCACAGGAGTTAAGGGTAAAAACATTACGAATAAAAGGATCTTTTTCCCCCTGTCGAATAATCATGTTTGCAATCTGGATAACAGGATCTTTATTAGGCTCTGGAAAAATTCCTAGATAACAAAATACAGAAGGATTATGAATTACTGTTAAAATAAGAGAAAATTATTAAACACAAATAAATTCTTTAAGTGTTGGGAATTTAATTGCAAGAAAATCCAGTTAAACAGAAATCAGACCTGTGAATTACAGAAAACTTATGCCATATATATGTTCCAATCTTGAATGGTATACTTTCTGCGAGCAGCTTACATATCTGCCTCATTATTAATATTTCAGATAAATCACTGAATATGAAGCTATAAACTAACAGAAATAGACAGGTACTTCAGTCTTAGCTGAGTAAATCAATTCCAAGACATTAACTGTGTTGAATGCATTTTTAGGAGCTTCTAAAGCCAGAAAATTGAACTACGTAAATACCTGTCCAAGGTGAATAAATTTTATATAATTTTAAAGCCTTCAAAAAGATACACAAGAGGATATAATCTATAGGAATAATATATGATTAAGGACTAAAAAGATATTGTCATCCAAAGTCATCAAGTTCGTACATTATTAAAATTTAACAATACTCAATGTTAAACTAATATTACAAAGACTGCAGTCAAATCTTTAAAATAGCTTATATTTCTGTAAAACTCAACCTACTGTATCAAAAAATATAGTCAAATAGAGAAAATATTTTTCTTTCAGAATATATAATTTTTAATAAATATATGTGATATTTTATAAAATATTGAATTTTCATTAACATTTATTTTTAAATGCATAGAAAATCATCGTTGACATATCAATTTTAATAGAGCACATGCAATAAATACTTTGTAAGAATCATATTAAAATATTAAAAAACTGTTTAACATTATCTTAATAGTTATTGTATAATAATATTAATATTATTGTATAACATTATCTTATCATACTAAAAGATTACAAGGATATAGACAACTTGACATTTCTCATGTAATTTAACAACATAAACATTAAAGATAAATAATAATTTAATATCCTCCTTAACCCTTATATTTTTACAACAATTGAAACTTTTGGCATTTAATATCAACTGCTTATTTAATATGTATTAATAGAAAGCAGATATATACAGTACAAATTCCGTAATCTGGAATGATCTATAATTCGGACCTCAAAGAAAGAAACTTTTTTTTGTATGCTTTACGCATGCGCGTTTAATGTATAACAGACGGTATAAGCTAGGCTAAAATTATCTTTACAGATTCTAAGGCATTTCAGTTAATGTTGCAGATTACGCTGTTTCTTAATCTTCTAATTGGATCTGGCTTATTATTTTTTGCAGATTGTTAAAGCAATTTTATAAAAATTAAGCTAGAACTTTCGTTATGTCAAAAAGAGTTTACAATTCTGGAGCTGCCAAAGGATCTACAAAGCGAAAGCATGTTTCGATGTCCATCAAACAAAAAGTGGAATTGCTACAAAAAATGGATAAAGGGGCATCCGTCTCAAAATTATGTGAGGAGTATGACATTGGAAAGTCAACTGTATATGACATAAGAGAAAAAGCAACTTTTTGAATTTTTTGTGGATTCTGACACCCCAATTGCAATGAATAACAGAAAAAGGGTTCGTTATGCTAAAAGTGACGATCATGACAAAGTGATGATTGAATGGGTCGGACAGCGTCGCGAGGGTGTGCCATTTATGGGTTCAATGCTAATGGCTCATGCCAAAATATTTCATGAAGAAATGAACTTAAACATTGAGTGCACTTACATTGAAAGAAATGTTTAATAAAGTAAACAAATAAATATTAAGCTTTTTTTGTAAATTTTGATACCCTTTAGATCATAATTGCTCTTTATTTCATAAATTACGGTTTAATATTTTTAATTGTGTAATTTCTGCATGCCATCTTACTAGATTGAAATTCATGATCCAGATTGAAATTTGGAAAAACCCCTAATCCGGAATCGCCGAAGTCCCCACAAGTCCATATTACGGACTTTGTACTGTATATATATATATAGTCTTATTGAATAAACAAATAATAATAATAATAATAATAATAAATCTCAACTAAACTCTCATAATGTATTTAAATAAAATAAATAAGATTCACATTATCTTCAACCTATAATGCAAAACTCTAGATCATCAAGTTTAACATCACTTGATACATATCATTCAACTGAACCAACGGCTTTCCTTCAATGTTTTAATCCTTCAAGGATTTGCAATACTGATACTAATTCACAAAGCACAATTAATAACACTGATAATATGGATCAAAAAATTCAAAATGCTTATGTTTCACATATATTTCATTACTACAAACTTGAGAATATCTGACAAAAGAGGTCTCTAAGAATTCATATTTAAAAATCAAATATGTTGATTTTATAAAAGATTCAAAACTTGATTCAAAAAACCACATTCGTCTTCACCTTTATATGAAGATAATGAAATAAACAATTCTAATGATATTAGTCATCATATCACTTCCAAGAGATATATGGATTCAGCAACATCATCTATTAGCTGCCAAACAAGAAAATTCTATGACGACGTAGCTCTATCACCAATCAGCTCCAACTATGAAAATGAAAAGGACTCGCATATCTTCACACAATCAAAGAATTTTAACATCAAATCAAAGAACTCCTCGGCAACAAAATTATATCCAGGATGCATACAATTTTTCACCTATAATTTACAATAATATGCCGAATATATCACCAAATAAAGAATCTGATATTTATTGTCAAAATACCAGTAATGCATATAAGACTCTTATATCTCATGATCAAATACAAAATGAAGGATCCAGATCATATGAAGAAGTAGCCAAAATAAATAAAGTTCCAACTAAAAGACAGTCACCAGCACGTCTTATTATCCCAAAGGCTTAAATGACGAATCGTGAATTAGAAGATAATTTAGAAAATACAATCCAGTTTCTAAAGTTGATGAAAAAATAAAAAAAAAATTCATATATCCGAAAAGGTGGTATCGCGGTTTCATGCAATAACAAAGAAGAAATACTCAAGATTAACTCCATAATAGAAAACAATGAAAAAATCAATAATATAGTTTTTCTCAATATACAGTTCAAAAGTCGTTAATCCGGACTCGTCGGGACTTTGGCGATTCCGGATTATAGATCATCAGTTTAAATATGGTAAGATGGCATGCAGAAATTATAAAACTAAAAATATGAAACTGTAATTTATGAAATAAAGAACAATTATGATCTAAAGGGTATCAAAATTTACAAAAAAAAAAGCTTAATATTTATTTGTTTACTTTATTAAACATTTCTTTCAATGTAAGTTGTTTAAGTTGCTTCGTTTTTTATGTGATAATACATTCTCTTTAATTCTATAAACAGACATAATTTCTTGTTCAGTTACAAAGTTCCGCCGATCAAGTCCTATAATTACTGTATTGAGCATACCGACTAATTTGTCAATCAAAATTTTTTCGTTTTCGATAACCTCTGTCACTTCTTCGCTATCGGAAGCGAATTATAATGACGAGGAATTTGATTTAAATCATATCAAAGACGGAGTACATCGACATGAAATACTACATTTAGTAAAGAATTATAAGCCAAATAAAATAAAAAACATCTGCCCTGAAGATAAGGATAGTGCTGACAGATCAACTTCCAATTCATTGCGCCCGCCACGTTAAAGATAAACAAACGTTACAGTTTAGATAAACAAAGGATATGCCTTTATCCATTTTTTGCAGCAATTCCACTTTTTGTTTAATAGACTTCGAAACATACTTTCGCTTTGTAGATCCTTTACATATTAGTAAATATATATCAGAAATTCTATTTGACATAATCGAAAGTTCAAGCTTACTTTTATAAAATTGCTCTAACAGTCTACAAAAAATAATAAGCCAAATCTAATTCGAAGATTTAGGAGCAACGCAATCTGCAACATTAACTGAATTAGATAATTTTAGCTTATCTTATACTGCCCGTTGTACATTAAATGTGCATTTGTAAACGTATTTTGCGCACACGCACAGGCATATTCGCAGCCGTAAAGGTCTTCAACGTCAACGCGACGCATGCGCAGAAAGTTTGTAGCTTTGAGGTCTGGATTATAGATCATTCCGGATTATGGGTGTCCGAATTAACGATTTTTGACTGTACCATCCAAAAGAAAACCTAAATGCACAATAAACAATTTACCTAACAATACTGGACCAGAATATGTCACTGAAGTAATTAAACAAGCAACTAATTTGGAAGAGAACGAATTAAAATCAGCTTTTAAAATAAATGACAAAAGAAACAATGGAATAAAATGGGTAATTGAATGCTTTCCTCTAGCCTTCAAAATACTACTGAAACAAAATATTATCAACTAGGCCAGGAGAAGTCACAAAACCGTATAATTTTTTGGTTTACGTTGATGTTTCATATGTTAAGACTTTACCCACTCAGTTTGTGCTTTCTGTGGTGACATTCACAATATCAGAGAATGGCAAGCAGAAAATCCATCATGTATAAACTGCAAACTCCATAATGACGCTAATAATACTGACCCTAATACACATCACCCTGCTTACGCATCAAACTATCCAATATATCAAAAGGAAGTGACCAAAATAATCACAAGAACTGAATATGACATCTTAGATTAAATTCATCCTTACAACTAACAAGTTAAAATCACTTCATCTTAATTCACAAAAATAATATAATTAAAATGTCAACAACCCTATTTAAATGTATATATTTATATACACTGAGAGCAAGTGCTTCACAAGAAAGCAACACAAAAATATTAGGAAGACTACTACAATACTGATATAAATACATTTATGCTACAAAATAAACTGATGAAATCTATCACATGAGCTAAAACTAAATTATAACTTGTCATACAAACCTACTATACTAACTTATTAAGTATTGTACTTTACGCTATCAAGTGAAAGCATTTACATTAAACAAAATGTGATCTATACACTTAAAGAATTCGACACAAACTTATCATTTGAAATGACAACATCTCAAATAAAAGAAACGGAATCATATAATAAACTTTACATC